GCTTCAGTTTCCCCCCCCCCCCCCCTCTTTCTCTCCCTTTCCCCACTCTCTCCCTTCATTTTGCTCCCTTTACTTGCTCTTTCCCCCTCTCCCCTTTTTATCCTACTCTTTCCTCTTTCTGCTCGGTTTTGATGACATTTAGAGGTAATTAATGAATATATGAATGCATATTTGATATTCGATATATGTATCTTTGATATCAGATACTTGTATCTATGTACGTGCACAGATACACTAGATGCAATGTCCAAGTTTGCTCTAGATACATCATATATGATATTGAACACATTAGATATTTGATATTGGATATGTCACAATCCGAGCCTACAACCTGCACGTGGCCGGCACTCAAGAATCATTGTTGGTCCCCAAGCGAACCCTCATCTTGGATAACTACAAGCGGAAAACTATTTTGAGCCTACATAAGCTTAAAACTGAATTAAATTCGTTAAACTCAATTACTTAACTCATAAGGTCTGGAAAATACTCAATAGAATTATTTATAGTTTGTAAAACAACTCAAAGAAAGTAAATACTGAAAAAATCATCAATTATATCTATCTATGGGCTTCTACTATTACAGAAGGATATCGGGACAAGACCTACGACATCTCAAAACTATTAACTGTAAGGTAAAGGTGAAGTCCTTCGAAATATAGGAAGGCTCACCAAAGCTAACTAAAATGTCAAATGATCTCAACGAAGCATATCCCTGAATATATGTATCTGCATCGTTAAAAGATGCAGGCTGAATGACGTCAGTACATTGAATATACGGCATGTAAGACGAAAATGAAACATAGTTAACTGAGTTGATAACATGGGAAGACAATATACTCACCTCAACTCAACTCAAATATGAAAGCAATAACAGAAGATAAAATGTTTAAAGCTTCATAATAAACAGATACTAACTCAAGGATGTATATAAAAATACAATAAAATACTTTTTACTTTTATTTGAGAGATTCTCTAACCGACAACCATCATTATGAGCTATACGTGATGATACAACGTCTCACCCACGCTGCCAGAACTGTTCTATACCTTGCCGGGATATAGAATACCTCAACTAATAAGTGGATCCACTAAGCTCTCCCTGAAGGCACTTAGGATTCATCTAAAAAGTAATGATCATGTCCCTATGTTGGCATGCATGATTTATGAGGATTGTGAGTTGTCTGAACTCATCCCCATATTTGTGCTCTATACTACTCCCAATAATATATACTCATGCTCAAATGTATAAGACATACTCTTTCTCTGGTTTGAGATAATTGCTCAAATTATCCTTTTAAAAGAGGTAACTTCTCTGAAATAAAACCCCCCCAACTTATACCCGAAATCCCAACTACACACTCCAACTTTACGGGAGTCCTATCACCCACCTGAATTGTTTAAAACTGTAATAATTACACCCCCTAAAAATGCCATAACCAGATCTGTGTTGGCCTGTGAACTTCACGCGTTTTACAGGTGAAAAATTCAATTAATTTATTATTATTTTTCAAATTTTTTTTTATAATTTTCTTTTCCTACTTTTTCCTATACTCTCCCAATTTCTTAAAATCTCTAAGGTAATTTCTTCCCCTAATTCTTTCAAATTCCTATGGAATTGTGATGAACAAAGATGAATATTGATAGCGGGAGCTTGTCAAGCGATATTCGAGTTTTGCTTGTCGGAGAACATTGAAAAATAATCTAAAAGGATCTGTTTTGCTTGCTTCGCTGAAGCTCGCTGGTTGGAGCAGTGCAGCCGCAAGGTTTTGTTGTTGTTGTTGTCGACCTTGTTGTGAGAACAGAGGTAGGTCTTTATGGTGGTTGTCTCGGAATGGGAGAGAGATAAGAGGAGAGGGGAAGAGGAGAATGAGGTTTTGTTGATGGTTTGGATTTCGCCGGAGGCGGCGACAGTGGTGGTTGATGGTCGAGCAGCAAATGAGGGAGAACAAACGAAAGCACTAGCAATGCCATTAATGGAGTTCAATTGAGATTGAATCCTTTTATTGATTAATTGGGGAAGATGACTATTTTCTCGGAAATTTTCATCAAAATTCACCTTCTAACGCGCCTAGAGAAGGTGAGAACACCTCCCATGACAGGTCAGCACTTGGGTGTGTATAAAATAGAGAATTATAAAGTTCAGGTGGGTAATAGGACACCCGTGAAGTTGGAGTGTGTAGTTGAGATTTCGGGTATAGGTTGGGGGGTTTTAGACCATTTTCTCTTTCTTTTTTCTCAATGTAAAAATGATACATTTGGGAATACTTAGTTCCCTTAAAATTTACTCAAAATTGTCTCTTTAAACCTTTCCTCAAAACTCAGTTTAAGACAATGATTGGCTTTCAAAAACTCTCAAGACTTATAACTCAAAATAGGATTCATGCTGAAAATATAAACATGAATGAATCAACTCAAGGATCTCAATAACAATATAGAAACTCAATACTCAAAACTCAACAATACTTCTCATCTCAAGAATACTCAATTCATAGGGTTCATGCGGAATTATGGACATGAACGACTCAACTCAAGGATCTCAATAACAATATAGACTCATGAATACAACTTTTTTCTTTCTCATACTCATTTACTCAAGACTTAGTTCAAGTCTATAGTTAATTGCAAAAGACTTCTCAAAATGACTTAAAAAAGACCTCTTG